CGGACTCCTTCCTGTCTCATTAAAGGGGTAACAATGCAGGGTTTAGGGCACTCTGCTCTCCAAGGCACAGCGCTTGCTGTTTCACTGCTCACTCTAGAAGAAGCGTGGTGCACAGCCCGCATCCCAACATATAACTTCATTCAGATTCACATCAGCACAGCAACTTCAGGAGCAACTTTGTCCCCCACCCCTTTTCTTCTTGACTACCCCATCCCTCAACTTGCCAAGTCAAAGCTGTAAAATCACTAATTGATTTTTATTCTACCAGGAATAAGAATCCCGGAAGTCACGGTCACAGACACAAATGTAAAAAGGGACCAAAAATGGGAATTTGGGGCTCTGCTGGGGTCATATTCCAATACATTTCTAACAGGTTCCAAGACACTACCGTGTAGACAATGCGGATGGTGAGTGTGTATGTGGCATGTCTGTATTGTGTATGTGCACAGATATACATCTCTGAGTAGGTATATGTTGCATATGTGTGTCTGTGTTATGTTGTGTGTGGGTGTGTTGTGTACACTGTGTGTACTATGTGCTTGTCTATGCTGTGCATGTGTGCAGACGTGTGCCTCTGTATATGCACATATATCGCTTTTTTGTACTCTTAAGGAGAAAATAAATGGTGATGGCAAGATCCAGAGGTGGAAACATTGAGATGATTTAAGAACTTTGCGTCTCTGCGCAGGCTCCTGGGAACACACTGGAGCAGGGAGTTAATCACACAAAGGAAGATAAAAAAGGCAGCTGCATTCTCGAGTCCAATTGACTGGGTTGGTCGCTCATTCTCATGCAAAACATGCTCAGGACATGTTACCAAGGAGAGGGGAGAGGGCTAGGGGCTCCAAGCAGCAGAGGCTCCGCGCCCTGCAAAGTGGAGCCTGGCCACCTTCTTCTCAATGGGCTGGCTGCTGCTGAGGGGCGCGTGGCAGTGGATGGTCAGGAACAGGACTGCAAAGCCAAACAAAACCAATCTGAAGAGGACAGGACAGAAATCACTGGTAGGAAAGACAAATCAAATGCTCCTGAAATCCTATCAGCATCGCTGTTATTCACATCCAGGTTTTTGATCCCACTATGGAGACAGCAGCCCCAGGTCTAAATGTGAGGTGTTGGTTTTATTTCCAGATCCCACGTCTCCCTGCCAAATTCCCTGAAGAGTCTGGTCCTACTTCTCTGGGTCTCTGTTTCCCACTCCCTGCCTCCACACCAACACAGCTGGCTCCTTATCACGCAGGCTTCCAGCTTTGCCAGCCCCGCCCAGCCCCAGTTCATGCTGGCACTGGACTCTAATTACTGTAGCGCTCACCTCCCTCCAGGCACCAATGGGCTGTCGAGTGTAAGAGCCTCTACAGAGGGCAGGTAGCTGGGCTCTGTCTTCTTCGGTGTCTCGCAAGCATCTATTTATTACATGCATTATATTATACTTTCACCTAGACGCCCTACAGACTCCACTTGTTTTAAGTCACTGTGAAGAACGTTAAGAAGAGAAGCTGCATGGTTTCCAAGACACACAGCTGGCTCCTTATCACGCAAGCCTCCAGCTTTGCCAGCCCTGCCCAGCCCCAGTTCATGCTGGCACTGGACTCTAATTACTGTAGCGCTCACCTCCCTCCAGGCACCAATGGGCTGTCGAGTGTAAGAGCCTCTACAGAGGGCAGGTAGCTGGGCTCTGTCTTCTTCGGTGTCTTGCAGGCATCTATTTATTACATACATTATATTATACTTTCACCTAGACGCCCTACAGACTGCACTTGTTTTAAGTCACTGTGAAGAACATTAAGAAGAAAAGCTGCATGGTTTCCAAGATGCAGCTAAGTTCTCAGTGAAATGACCTTGCCTATCAACGTTCCCAACATACTAAAAACTGTTTTGTACTGCTCCGTAATAGCTAATGAATTCACCACTGCTTTGCAAATAGGGTTCACAGTTATCTTCACCAAGCAGGAGGGGAGAACTTCCCAGTCTTTCAGATGACATAAAGACACACCCAGGTGTACTCCTTTCCTAATATATTTGGTGTCAATGACGGCATGGGGGCAGGGCCCAGCCTGCTCTAATGCTGCCGCCATGCACTCAGGTATCTGAGGACTCTGTAAAAGTACTAGCGACATCTGCTCTGGGGTTTCACTGGGCAGACACTTCCATCGTGTCCCAGCTATGTGACATCAGGCAAGCGACCATGTCTCAGGAAGTGTTATTCCTCATCTCTACCAGATCATCCCAGGCCATACCACATGGGTGGCTGGGGGAGTTAGAGCAGATGAAGCCCATGACGTGCTAGAAGGATTTGTGTGTTCCTGTGAGCCAGGCACCGTGCTGAGCATCTAAGACGAAAGGGCTCATCCCCAGTGGAGCACAGCTGGGGGCAGGCCTTGGTGACACCAACACCATACACACCCCCCTCCCAAAACAACACAACACACCCAAGGCAGAGCTGCCCAGGCAGGAAGGGCATCCCCAAGGTGGCCCAACCAGCTGGTCAGAGGCAACTGTAAGTACAAAGGGCACCAAATACAACTTTGGGCAATGGAACTGCCTCATTTTAACAATGAAGAGAGGGAGACAGAGGGAATAAGCTTCCACTGGATAGTAACATTGAGGCAGTTCCTCCTT